GGGTGGCAGGAATGAATGGCGCTGTGCTTTGCCCTCAAGCCAAGCAGATCCGTGGCAACAAACCCAGGGGTGGCTGGCTCTGGGCAGACTCAGGGGGATAAGGGAGCAAGACGTACCGGGTTGCAGCTGGTGTTGCAGGGAATGTGTTTGCAAGAGATGACGTGGAGCTGTGTCTTGTTGTCCATGGTTCCCGTGCAGAAGCACGTCTCACACTTGGAGGAGTACACTGGAGAGCCCGGCTTTGGGGTGCAGGAGGGATGGTCAAGCCTGACCCCTCTGCTCCATCCACTTTAGAACCACCCACCCTTATCTATGAGGGGCACTCTCATCCTGACTCCAGTGACAGGGCCAGATCACCACCCCCAGGTGCCCAGAAGCCTCGCCCTCATCACGTCCCCTTCTAACCCCACCTCATTCCCACCCCTGCCCCCCAGGGCTCACCTGGTACTCAGCATTCTGGGCAACACATACGCCTTTGGGCACTTGGGGGGAAAAGTGAGGACATGGGTCAGTGATAGGGGGCTGAGCCCACGGTAGCCACCTAGACCCCCAAACACCATGCCCTTCCCCACAGCCCCAATCCATGTGGGCTGTCATTGTGGCCCTCAGCCATTCATATCAAGAACCGGGCCACTGCTCACCACATGAGTAGACGGGGCAGCATCTCCCAGAAACTGTCTGGCTCTTCACCTCGAATCCAAGGGGGCACGTTGGGGGTGTCTCCTTACACAGGCTGGTGTTACATTCTGGGGGGTAGTGCAAAAGCAGTAAGGCCTTGGGTCTCCCAAACCTCTACAGATGCTCCCCTAACCCAGGCCCCAAGTCCACAGCTCTCTCCAACACACTGTGTCAGCCGTCCATGCGGACCTTCCTGAGGTCTGCCAGGCACAGACCCTTGTGAGACCCTTCGATACTCTCTCCCAGCCAGACCCATCCAGAGAATCTGCCAGCCCCAGGGCGTGAGGGACCCCAAGAAGACAGCATGCAGCTCAGCCTGTGGGGGATACGCTCAGTGACATCAGAGCCCCAGCTGGCAGGGCAGCCCTTACTGCAGGAGGTGATGTTGCAGCAGGTGTCAGAGGGGTTGACCTCCACGACGGGGTAGGTGCCATCCTCCTCACATGTGGTGGGCTGCTGCTGGGCACACTTCTTGGGCTGACAGACAATGCCACTACCACCCTCCAAGCAAACACAGTCCTTACAGTCGAAGGTGAAGTGCTCTCCAAACTGTGGAAGAGGTGAGGGTAATCAGGAAAGCAGGCAGCCACAGGAAGCAGGAAGCCATGGGAAGCGGGCAGCCACAGGAAGTGGGCAGCCACAGAAAGTGGGCAGCACGGGAAGTGGGCAGCATGGGAAGCGGGCAGCCACAGGAAGTGGGCAGCACAGGAAGTGGGCAGCCCGGGAAGCCACAATGGGCAGCCATGGGAAGCGGGCAGCCACGGGAAGCCACAGTGGGCAGCATGTTGAGGAGTCTGGTAGGAAGCCTCCAAGAAGAGCAGGACAGCAGGCAGTTGTCCAGGGCACTGGGCACTAACATCATACAGCTATGACCATCTCTTGGGCTTGTCAGCATGGGCTTGGCACATAGCAAGGGCACCACACATATCTGGTAGGTTTGTGCATAGTTGACCAAATAGTCCACCACCTGGTGACCACAAGTCAACTGTGAGAAAATCAACTGAAGTCTGAGCACTGTGTCAATGACCAGTGGTGGTCAGTGTCCAGTTGGTTAGGTGTCCGGCTGGATACTGAATCGATGTCAATTGGTGTAGTAGATAGGCCACTGATAGTGAGGGGTGAGCAGAAAGAAAGCTAGAAGGATGGTTCAGCAGGCAGAGGAGGCATCCGATGGGTGGAGAGATGATGTGTGGATGGATGGATGGATGGATGGATGGATGGATGGGTAGTGGCTGCATTGTGACTAAGTGGTGAATGAATGGGTGATGGGTGTATGGACGGATGAGCTGGTGACTGAATGGTCCGATATAGATGGACAAGTGGTGAGTAGATGGTGGCTGGGTGGTGAATGAATGATGGGTGAGTGTATGGATGGATGAATTGGTGACTGAATGGCTAGGGATATACATGGATGGGTGGCAGGTAGATGGATGGATGGATGTGGGGGTGGGGATTACCGGGAAGCTGGATGATGAATGAAGAGACAGATAATAGGTAGGTAAGGGGGGGGTGGATATAACAGCAGTCCAGAACCCTAATAAGATGGGTGGATAAGTAGATGGGCTGGGTGACGGAGGATAGGTGGGTGGACATCCCCAGGACCTTAACAGCATGTTTGCCAGCCTTTGAGGTCCACACACCCTCTTTCCTTCTGTGCCACCCAGACACCACAATTCAGGGTTTTCAGAGAACCCTCGCCAGGACAAAGACTGGGCAGTGACGCTTACCTCTCTGGGCACGTTGTCAGGTCCCACACAACCTAGGAAGAGGAGGGAGCAGAGGTCACCATGGTCCTGGGGTTCCCTCCTCCTCTCCTAGCTCCTAGCTGTCTGTCTCAGGGCACAGAGAATAAGGTGGAGGGCAGGAAACACAGCCAGCGGCAGCTTACCACACATCCCCACGCAGACGTCGAAGCCAGGGGCGTAGCTGGTGGTGCCCTCAGGGCAGAAGCAGCCTTCCACCAGAAGTGTGGCATTCTCCTGCGAGGGGCTGGGGACAAGGGGAGCCGTCAGATGGGAGCCCAGGTGCAGTCAGATCCTTTTGTCCAGGCATTACCACCTGTGAGGCCCCACACGTCGCTCACCTGGACTTGCAGGTGGGCTCTTCTGCAGGCCCACAGGCCCTGTACTCCCGGTGCGACGGGCAGGTCACCGCTGTGGATGGAGGCGGGGTCAGGGGCAGAGCCAGCAGAAGGCGCCCAAGCTCTGAGTGGCAGCCCAGTGGTCACGCCCCTCCCCGTGGACCCGCCCCTCCCCGTGGCTCCACTCACAGCAGGTCCCCTGGGTGTGGTTTCGCCAGTCCACGCAGACGCCCTGGTGCGCACAGAGGGTGGCGTAGGTCTGCAGACTGGCACACTCCAGGCCAGAGTCGGGGACAAAACAGCTGTCAAACAGGCAGGCTTCATAGTAGTGCAGCGGGGGCACCAGGGCATGGCACTGGGCAAACAGGCTGTGGGACAGCTCAGGTCAGGCTCAATGTAGCCCTAACACTAACCCCGCCTTTGCTCCCACACCTTGGAAACAGGAAGGGGCTGTGGCGGAATGAAGAGGCCCTGCTCCACTTAGTGGATGAGCCACTTTTCAGCTGCCACCATGTGCCAGGACCCTCCAGTCATGCTAGCTGGGGTCAGCCGGCCTCTGGGACTGGGATTTGCAGCCAGCTTTGGGAGCCCACCCTCCCAACAGCCCTGGACTAGCTTCATGTGGGTCTACCTCTTGCCCCAGCTGAGCCTGTGCGCTACCAGCAGGCAGGTGGCATGTAGCAGGGCAAAAAGGCTTAGGGCGGGCTTGAAAAGGTGGCACAGCCCTGCAGGAGCCTTGTTCCTGTCCTCAGCGACCTAGCACCCCATCTTGGTGGGGGAGCTGGGCATTCTACAGCCCTGTGGCCCCAAGGGCCTGACAGACAGATCACCTGTCTTTGATGAGCTCACAAAGGTGAGATGAGGAACAAGGGTGGGACCCCCCTGCTGAAGTTGTGGCTGGTCGCTTGGTGGTGACCATGGTGTGGGGACAGTGAGGCTTAGAAGGGTCGTTCACCACCCAGTCGTCGGCCGCAATCTCGCAGTCAGAGATGACCTCCCCACTGGGCCGCATGCAGTCGTCCGAGGTGTCATTGGTGCATGTGCCTGTGCCATGAGGAGATGGCAGTGAGCTGGTCAGCCAGAGGGTCCCCCAACACCAGACCTGGACTGGAGGTCTTCTCAAGGAGAGGCCAGTGACTAGGTCAATGCCAACTGGCTCCCCTCTGGCTGAGCCCACACAAGGCAGCAGGGCCCAGTGGAGAAATAGGAACACATGGGAGCCACAGGCAGCACACATGTTCACACATGTACACAACTCCTATACATGTAAGCACATTTGAGTGTGAGCATGTGTGTGTGAGAGAGCGTTCGTGTGACCCTGCATGTGAGTGGGAAGTATAGATAAGTGTGTGAACACGCATGTGAGCGTGCCTGTGCATATGAGCGTGTCAGCATGTGTGACATGTGAGCACATGTGTGAGTGGGCCTATGTGCACATGTGAACATGTGTGTGTGTGAGAGCGTTCGTGTGACCCCCACGTGTGAGCATGCAGTCCTGTGTTTGAACACGTGTTCATAGGCACACTCACCACACTGGCCCTTGGTGTTGTTCCCAAACAGGTGGTAGGGCAGCTTGATGGAGAAAGAGAGGCCATTGTAGGAGATGACAGCGCCCAACTCGGGGATGTCCACCACGTAATTGATGCCCAATTCGTACACCTGCAGCCCGTACTTCTTGTAGGGCAGAGCCACTGCCTGCTTGTTGACCTGCACCTGCAGCCGGGCAAACGGACACATTGGGTCAGGGGCCAGCTGACAGCTGAGTGTCATCACCCACTCCCTGCCTCTGCCCTCCGCCCACCCACCGCCTGTCCCATTCTGGCTTCCTTTCCAGCAAAAACTGGGGTGAGCCTACAAGGGCTCTCCCATCAGATCCCCCCAGGTCACAAGACCACTGGGCTGCTGGTGGTCAGGATAAAGCGAGGCCCCTGGTGGAAAAGACAGCTGCATGAGATAGGACCACCTTGAGTTTGTCTTTGGGGCCTGGGTCTTTCTAGAGCCCTGTGCACAGGTGGGTAAGGACAGGATCACGTGAACACATATGAGTGTCCATGGAAAAACCTTCCTGCCACATCCCCTCCAAGAAGGGCTGAACCCTACCTAACCCCATGCCATCCTGTGGTCCATCTACCCACATTGCCTGTGCCACCTACGCCTCCCATGTCACCCGTGCCCCCTGCCTGCTGTGTATCTGTGCCACCCACACCACCCATAAGTCCTGTGCCACCTTCACCATCCACGCCTCCTGTGCCCCTGGCTGCTATGTACCTGCACTTGCATGGGCATCATGTTGACGGTCTTGATCAGCACCTCTTGTGTCTCATGGCGCACAATGAGGGTACGGGGACATGAGACCTTGTCATTGACATCACAGTGGTAATTGTCGATGTAGACTCCAAAGTTGTCTACCTTGGGGTTTATCTCCTCCACCAGCACGTATGTGCAGTTTCCCTGGTAGCTGTAGTAGAGCCCATCGAAGGTGACGTAGTGAGGATCTCCCCAGCCTGTGCAGTAGCCTGGAGAATGAGTGACTATGAGCTGGCAGCCACTGGCTGGCATCCAGTCAAGGATCTGGTGAGGCTGGCAAGGTTCAGGCCCTGGTCTTAGCCTAGATGGGCCTGGTCCAGCTTCTGTCCAGAGAGGTACCCATATGTGGCATGCCAGTAAGCCCCACAGAGATGTCCTGGCCTTAGATCCAGAAAGTCTGAGCTCAAACCACAGCTTTAGTGCATCCGACCTCACCCACTGACTGTGCCCACTGACCAGGTCCTCTACCCGAGGTGCTAGGTGAACAAGGGTGCCTATGACAAGCCCCTTGTACCATGTCTGACCTGGCAGACACTCTGCCCTCCCTTCCCAGGGCTTCCACCCACCAAGAAGGAGCCTTGTCCTCACATTCACACTGTCCTCACATTCATGCTGTCCTCAGTCACATTGTTCTCACAGTCACGCTGTCCTCATGATCATGCTGTCCTCAGTCACATTGTTCTCACAGTCACACTGTCCACAGTCACACTGTCTCCACAGTCACATTGTCTTCACAGTCACACTATCCTCATGGTAACACTGTCCTCACAGTCATGCTGTCCTCACAGTCACACTGTCCTCACAGTCATGCTGTCCTCATGACCATGCTGTCTCAATCACATTGTTCTCACAGTCACACTGTCCACAGTCACATTGTCTTCACAGTCACATTGTCGTCACAGTCACACTATCCTCATGGTCATGCAGTCCTCGCAGTCACACTGTCCTCACAGTCATGCTGTCCTCACAGTTACACTGTCCTCAGTCACATTGTTCTCACAGTCACACTGTCCTCACAGTCACACTGTCTTCACAGTTATGCTGTCCTCAGTCACACTGTCTCCACAGTCACACTGTCTCCACGGTCACGCTGTCCTCACGGTCACACTGTCCTCACGGTCACGCTGTCCTCATGGTCATGCTGTCCTCACATTCGCATTGTCCTCAGTCACATTGTTCTCACAGTCACACTGTCCTCACAGTCACACTGTCTCCACAGTCACACTGTCCTCACAGTCACACTGTCTTCACAGTCATGCTGTCCTAACAGTCACACTGTCCTCACAGTCACGCTGTCCTCACAGTTATGCTGTCCCCACAGTCATGCTGTCCTCACAATCACACTGTACTTACAGTCACACTCCCAATGCCAGCAGCAGCCATCGGGGTCCATGACCCGTACAGGTGACAGGCCGTTGGAGCAGGTGGGCATGGGCGGAGGCTTGCACTCCACCTCCACAATCTCCACTGTGTTGTCATGCTTGCAAATGGCCATGGTGCAGTTACACAGCCACCATGTCTCGTTCTCCTGCAGCAGGTCAGGCACAGGGTCACAGGGCTGCCCAGCCACCCAGCCTCTGCCTGCTCCCTGCAGGAGGAGGGCTCAAGCCCCACCCAGGAAGCTGGACTCGGGCAGGGTGCTGTGCACAACCTCAATGGTCCCCAGCTTGGGGCTTGAGGTAGAGTGTCCACCCACCACCCACTGACCTGTCGGGGAGGATCAAAGTCAGGACATCCAGAAGGTTTAGTGGTTGCCAGAGGTGTAGATGCTGTGGAGGTGGGTGTTGGCCGGGAAGATGTAGAGGTTGATGAGGGCATAGATGGTGTGATGGTTGGTGAGGGCGTGGACGGGCAGGACCAATTGAAGATCTCAAAGGTACAGTCCAGGGAGCAGTTGACATAATAGCAGAAGTCTCCATGTGTGCCGTTGTACACCATCTCACCTATGGAAGGGAGAATTGACCTGTGTACACTCTCAAAGGTCAGACACACAGGCCTCTGAGGCCACCAGAAGAAGGCTTACCCTGCCCTCTCTGAGAGCCTGGTAGTTAGCCCTGACAAAGTGGACTTCTCCTTAAACTTTCTCATAGACAAATCCTCCTGGCAGGCTATGTCCTGGGAAACAGCCAGCCCTGTAGCAAAGAGCTACACAAACTTCCTAATCACAAACCTCAACTTCATGAGGGGGGAAAAGAGCAAGCTTCCTTGTCACCCACTTCGGGAGGGAGAAGGATGAGCGCTGCTCCACTACAGGGGAGAAAACCAATGTGGTGACAACATGCGTGTGGATTGTTTGATAAGAGTAAGTTGCTCTATAAGCTTACATTTAAATCACAATTTAAAAAAATTAGAAGAGAGATGTTTTAAAGTCTCTCCCACTGGAATCCCAGTGGCCAGATCATAAGGACAAAAAGTATTCTGGGCAGACTGGTCACACTGCCACCTCAGTGCATCTCACATCAGACCTCCTAACTTCAGTCTGGGTCTCAGAGAAAAAGGGCAGCAAGCCTGGATAGCTCCCCACATTGCCACCCTCAATGCAAATTCTTCCTGCACTTCCCTGTTTCTGCTCACTGCATTGCAAATCCCTACTGAATCTCATCTTAGGCATCTTCATCCCTCCTTTGACCAGAGGAGAAGCAGGGCCTTGACTGAGGGAAGCACTGCCCCACCCAGATTCTATAAACCTGTGGAAGGTGTTCAAGTGGATTCCTAAACCACTGGTAAAAACGCAGCAACCCACCAGCCTGCCAATGAAAGAGATACCTGGGCTATAGTATGTGCCGTTCAAATAGCAGCATATAATCTGGGTGGAAGAGCTGACTCCCGAGCCAGTATTGAAGCTGATGCTGGGCGTGATGAGTGGGGAAGATGTGGGCATGCTGGGAGTCTGTATAGTGGTGGTAAGAGTGGAGGTAGTAATCATTGTAGTGGTGCTAATGGTAGATGTTAGAGTTGTTGGCCCTGGGGTGGTACTGACGGAAGGTGTTGGTGTTGGTGTCAGGTTCTCTGGGGTAGTGGTGGAAGGTATTGTGGTACTAGTGGAAGGTGTTGAGGTTCCTGGAGTGGTAATGATGGAAGGTGTTGGTGTTGTGGTTCCTGGGGTAGTGGTGGATGGTGTTGGTGTCCCTGAGGTGGTTGTGAAAGGTGTTGTGGTCTCTGGGGTGGTAGTGGAAGGTGTAGTGCTCCCTGGGGTGGTAGTGGAAGGTGTAGTGGTCCTTAGGGTGGTAGTGGAAGGTGTTGTGGTCCCTGGGGTGGTGGTGGATGGTGTCGTGGTCCCTGGGGTGGTCGTGGAAGGAGTCGTGGTCCCTGGGGTGGTGGTGGA